GCATGGCAGGTTTGACATTCTTGGTTTCACCTTGGACTGCAGCCTTGTGTGAACCCAGGGGCATCACTGATATGAGTACCCAAAGGTACCAAGACTACTAACCACCAAGGACCCAAGACTTGGGTACCTAAAGCTACTACATCTGCGTGGCGCATTGTTCTGGTTGCGTTGCTGTTGTGGCTTGGGTTGAGTAACTTCTTCAGCCTTGACCCGACGATCCGAAAATCTCAATTCGCTGGAACAAATGATTTGTTTGGTGGATAACTCTTGACGAGTATTGTAGCTCAGAATGAGTAACAAACTCTAATAAGAAAAGAGCTGTTTGAACTAAAAATAATTCGGTTAATAAGCCAAGTATCGAATGTCTGGAACTCTTCTGTTGCAGATAGTTTCCCTCCGATTGTGTGAAGATCCAATCCTGAAAAGTCCTTCTCGATCCGATTCTAGAAAATCTGATCCTCCCGTTCTCTCTCCACTCTGTTGAGTTTGTTGATATTTATAGGGAGATTAGGGGTGTAACTGCCCCCATAATCCGCGCCTAAATGAGGGTTTAGTCGCTCCATTAATCGGGTGTAACAACCCACGTAAACTACTCCTCAGATCATGGGTGAGAAACGGTTTTCGAAACTGCATGGATCATGTTTGAATGAGTCAGAACCTTGACTTGCGTTCTGGCATAGATTCTGTGCTTGAACGCAGTATCTGGAAATGCGTTCTGCAGCGATTTGAAGCTGCGTTCTGTAGCGGTTTGGAGCTGCGTTCTGCAGCGGTTTGAGCTGCGTTCTGCAGCGGTTTGGAGCTGCGTTCTGCAGCGGTTGGGGCTGCGTTCTGCAGCGCTTGGGGCTGCGTTCTGCAGCGGTTAGAGCTACGTTGTGCAGCGGTTGGAGCTACGTTTGCCCTTTTTTGTCTTTATATATGGATGACACCAATGACAAGTCGAGAAGGCCCTATTTAGGCCATTTGTGATATTTGAGGCATCCCAATAACGCTCTATCAACTGCAGGTCACGATCTCCACTAAGGTCTCTTTGTATGGTTTTAACCATTTGCTTCTCAGTATGTCGAATATTTGCCCACAGCTCTCCACTTTTCTAAAATCATTACACTGCTCATCAGCGCCTCTAATAGTTGCTAATATAATATTAGTCATGTTGTTGTCGCAGCCATCAAGATCAATCATCTCAAATATGAGGATGTGCTTATAGCTAAGGATGCAATGATTGCGTTGCTTCGACTTTTGTAATGCAGCCACTTGTGTTTTGACTGTAGGGGTGAGTTCTACCTCTCGTTTTGAAGAAACCGTTAACTTGTAATTTTTTCATGATCCATAGGGGCATCCTTCGGTTGCAGCTTTCCCTGTGGTAACAAGACAGTTGTTTGATTGTAACTTTTATTGTTGGCACTTGATGGGGATCAGCTATCCATTATGATTTTTAGACAGCCTACAGAACCCCCTCCAAAGTTTTTAAAAGTTCGCGGTTGACTGGGACAAATTTTCGAAACACTTTGGATCCCAAAATTTTGTTGATTGAATGCACCTCATCGCGTACTGAGTGGAGCACCTCAGGGTCTTAGACAAACTTGTTGACATCCTCTTTTTAATTCTTCAATAATGACTTGGACTTTAGCTTGTTTGACCAAGTTCGTCCTCTTTAGGGAGGTTGAGCACTTCCTGGCTTAAAACAAATCTATTGTGATAGACAGAGAGAACCACAAGCTTGTATGAAAAGGACTTCATCCCCAGCAAAGTGGCCATCTTTTGTTTGTGAAAAATTTTGTAATAAGACAATGATGAAAGAATTGCGTTTGATTTTATTCTCTCTAACTGCTTAGAAAAAGAATGTTTACAAGTCTCTAAAGAATTGCGTTTGATTTTATTCTCTCTAACTGCTTAGAAAAAGAATGTTTACAAGTCTCTCAACTCTCGATTACAATTGGATTTCCTGATTACAAAAGACTGCTTAGAAAAAGAATGTTTACAAGTCTCTCAACTCTCGATTACAATTGGATTTCCTGATTACAAAAGGGAAGAGAATGATCTGGATTCTCCCCTTTGTTTAATTCTGAGTTCTTCACAGTGGCGATGGAGTGCTTCCTTCGAATGCTTGCGTCAAACTTGCTCTCCGTTGACGATCCGAAAATCTCAATTCACTGGAACAAATGATTTGTCTAGTGGATAACTCTTGACGAGTATTGTAGCTCAGAATGAGTAACAAACTCTAATAAGAAAAGAGTTGTTTGAACCGGAAATAATTCGGTTAATAAGCCAAGTATCGAATGTCTGGAACTCTTCTGTTGTAGATAGTTTCCCTCCGATTGTGTGAAAATCCAATCCTAAAAAGTCCTTCTGGATCCAATTCTAGAAAATCCGATCCTCCCGTTCTCTCTCCACTCTGTTGAGTTTGTTGATATTTATAGGGAGATTAGGGGTGTAACTGTCCCTATAATCCATGCCTAAATGAGGGTTTAGTCGCCCCATTAATCGGGTGTAACAACCCACGTAAACCACTCCTCAGATCATGGGTGAGAAACGGTTTTCGAAACTGCATGGATCATGTTTGAATGAGTCAGAACCTTGACTTGCGTTCTTGCATAGATTCTGTGCTTGAACGCAGTATCTGGAAATGCGTTCTGCAGTGATTTGAAGCTGCGTTCTGCAGCGGTTTGGAGCTGCGTTGTGCAGCGGTTGGAGCTGCGTTCTGCAACGGTTGGGGCTGCGTTCTGCAGCGGTTGGGGCTGCGTTGTGTAGCGGGGTTGGAGCTGCGTTCTGCAACGGTTGGGGCTGCGTTCTGCAGCGGTTGGGGCTGCGTTGTGTAGCGGTTGGAGCTACGTTTGCCCTTTTTTTGTCTTTATATATGGATGACACCAATGACAAGTCGAGAAGGCCCTATTCAGGCCATTTGTGATATTTAAGGCATCCTAATAACGCTCTATCAACTGCCGGTCACGATCTCCACTAAGGTCTCTTTGTATGGTTTTAATCATTTGCTTCTCAGTATGTCGAATATTTGCCCACATCTCTCCACTTTTCTAAAATCATTACACTGCTCATCAGCGCCTCTAATAGTTGCTAATATAATATTAGTCATGTTGTTGTCGCAGCCATCAAGATCAATCATCTCAAATATGAGGATGTGCTTATAGCTGAGGATGTAATGATTGCGTTGCTTCGACTTTTGTAATGCAGTCACTTGTGTTTTGACTGTAGGGGTGAGTTCTACCTCTCGTTTTGAAGAAACTGTTAACTTGTAATTTCTTCATGATCCATAGGGGCATCCTTCGATTGCAGCTTTCCCTGTGGTAACAAGACAGTCGTCTGATTGTAACTTTCATTGTTGGCACTTGATGGGGATCAGCTATCCATTGTGATTTTTAGACAGCCTACATGTATATGTATATGTATATGTATATGTATATATATACATGTATATATGTATGCAATGATTGCGTTGCTTCGACTTTTGGAATGCAGCCACTTGTGTTTTGACTGTAGGGGTGAGTTCTACCTCTCGTTTTGAAGAAACCGTTGACTTGTAATTTCTTCATGATCCATAGGGGCATCCTTCGATTGCAGCTTTCCCTGTGGTAACAAGACAGTCGTCTGATTGTAACTTTCATTGTTGGCACTTGATGGGGATCAGCTATCCATTGTGATTTTTAGACAGCCTACATGTATGTCATAAGCACACATTATGATGTGTAGCACTAGACCGTATTTGAATTCTTTAGGACGAGTCACCTAAGAAATAGAGAATCCAAATTGTTACATAGTCTCTTTGACTTGATGATATTGTTATTTTTAATTTGATAATTTAGTATCACTAGTGGAAAATCATGTATCGCTGACGGGCATTCCCGTCAGCGATGCCCCATTTCCCGTCAGCGATACGTATCGCTGACGGCGTCCCGTCAAGGATACGCCGTCAGCGATAGTCCCGTCAGGAAAGGACTATCGCTGACGGGC